GGGGGGCACGGATATTAAATCACTATTAGTTACAAAGCCCTGTTTAGCATTTGCAATGTTTGTGCAATCCTCATCGATCGAGGTCCTTTCGTGGCCAGGTCGACAAAACGCGACCGCTACACGCCAAAGATAGTCAGCCAATGTATTTTCTTACAATTGTTATTTTTAGTTACTTTCTTTTAATAGTTTGGACTTTCAAACAATATTCTTTTATTGCCTATTATATTCAAATAGAAATATAGATGTGTATAAAAGTATTTTTACCGTTTGCAAGCTTTTACTTTCTTCGTAAAGGAACATTAGAAACCAGCGAAAATAGCTGACATGGGTTGGTAACTGGCAGCGGAAAGAGTTATTTTAAGAAACTTATGACACAGCTATTTTTAGATTACACCGCACCGTTCACTCCAATCTGGTTCACTCTGTGTTTATAAAACCTACTCTCTCATGGAAACCTGTTTTATTTCTGTGCAATTGGTACGATAGATAAAAGCAAAAGAAATACTAGTAATACGTTTGAACGAAAAAAAACGACACATTAAAATGAGAAGGATAGACTGATTGATGCCTTTACTTATTCTGTCGCAGAAAAAACACACGCTAAAGTAGGCTAATCATCGCAAGCAATTAATAATATTATGGAGGAAACGGATTGAATAATTATTTATTTCTCACGACCGTTTTGATTGTTTATCTGATATAAAATAATCCGAAAATGTGGTGTTAGTGTTAGGAGAAGCGTATTTGAAGATTGTTTTCTTCTTTGTTTCATACTACTGTTGTGAAGTGACCAAGAGGTGGAAAGAAATATGGGGCTTTTGTGAAAAGGAAAGAAGACATTCGTTTTATCATGGGCCCAAGGAGTGGTTTTGATCTACACTCAAGTGACCGTTTCATGATGGTGTTCCTTTGATTTACTAATGAACTGTGTTGTTGGTACTGTAAAATAATGGAAGGACAGACATGAGCGACTGGTGAATGAAGATATCAACTGCTCAAATCTGTGTAAAAGCAAAATAGAGGCCTACATGAAAACTGTCCATATTGAAAGCCTAGAATTTCAAGTGTCTCAAAAGACTGGAGAATAATGGCCTTCTGAATAAAACAATAATGAAAACATATATGATTTGCTCAAATCTGTGAAAAACAAATTAATTTACACGAAAACTGCGTCAAAGCGTTTGTTTTTACTGAACATATTTATTAACAGTCTGGAATTCCACGTGTAATTAAAGACTACAGGAAAATGTCTTTCTAATTCTAAACTCAAAATGGGCCTTGTCGGAGCTGTGACGAGTCAGTGATTGAAAAGACAGGAAGTTGTGTCACGTTAGATTAATGGCCAGTTTGTGGCTTAGACTGTGAGACCTGCCTTAAGTTGAGAGCGCCGTAAAAAAACAAAAAAAACAACCTCTACTAAAACCAAAGACTGTGTGGCCATAAGCCGCGCCAAAAATCAATGGAGATGAAATCCGCGTCCCCAGGCTGAGTGAGATTGATGATTGGGTAAACATTTTCCTGGGCCTGTCACCTCTACTGGACGTCACCTACGGGCCTTGACCAGTGCTACGGTCAAGTCCGGACACAGAAGTTGAGGTAAATATGACAGGATGTAGCCTGCAGATACGAATTATACAATATTTTACTTACGCCAAACTTCGGCATGTGTATACATCATAATAATTTTTTAGATTGGAATCTGTGGTGTGATATTATATTACAAAATATATTACAGACCGACACGTACTCGTTATAGAGTCCTACAGTAGGCCAAAGCAATATATCATGGATGTAGGTTTGTATAACATTGTGTAGGATACGTAGGCCTGTATATATATATATA